TTACTGTCATCTGCTCTCGCTCTTGCTGCCAGTCACGGCGACACCCTTACCTGAATTTAGTGACCCTCTGGACCTATCTGTTTGCATCTTCCCAGCACTACCCCTGAGCACACCCTGCCTGCTTCTATTGCTGCCATTTCCCCATAACTCCATCTGCATTTCCATGCAAGTACTCTGCCACACAAAGTCATTGCTCAATGTCTTTTCCCTTTCCCTGGTATTTATTTCTGTGAACACAAGATGACCAGCCCTAGGGACTTGCTTCTGCATTTGCCTTTGGAGTGAACACAGGCAAAATGAAAAGGATATAACAAATCTTAACATGCAGCTATTAAAATGAGCTGTTTCTACAAGGCTCTACATGGCAGGAGCTGCAGAGAGAGGTGGTTCTGATGTCCTCTTTATCACCTTTCTGGAAAGCCACCCCAAGGAGAGCTGTGAGCCATTTGCAGAGGTTATGGTGCAGGAAACAGGAAGGGGCTGCTGCCCAGGCAGAGCTTTTGTCGGCACTTGAGAACTTGCTGGTCCACATCGATGCTGGACATGCTGAGCAAGGGCTTATATTTGGAGCCTCAGAGATCAAACCCAGCTAGCTCCCATCCTGATTTATTCAAGCAGTGGAGATGATAAAGTAGCTGTCTGGGACCACGGGACACAAGGAAAAAGGCTTTAGGTGAGGAACACCAGTTGTTCTTGTGTTTGACACCAAAATTGCAATGAACCCACAGTCGGTGGAACACATATGCTTTTACTCACTACTGCAGGATTATCACCTTCAATGGCATTTCCTTTTCCTTCTGGAGCTAAATTCAGTCTCCTCCCTCTCCCATACTGCTTTTCTGTTCCAAAACTGACCCATCAAAGTGTTGGGTTCAGTCACTAGCTGTGAAAGTGCAGAGATATGCTGCTGGCTCATTTGCTGACCAGAGCAGGTGAAGCTTAATAGCCTCCAGTGCCAGAGAAGAAGCAGTGAAACACCAGGAGGGCAACAGAGGAATAAAGAGTAAGACAGATGTGCTGACAGAGCATTAGAAATCGCCGACTCAAGGAGGAAACACAGGCAAACACAACAATAAGATTCTCCTCATGAATTCTTCTGGCCATGGAAACACAGTGAACTGTTTTCTTCCTGCAGCTTCTTCACTGAGGTTTGTGTTCTTTCTCATTTCCCATGCTACTGGAGGTCGGCTTCTGAGCATGTATCATTTGTTTCTTAAACCTCTGCTTGGATAGGAGATGATGCATCAGTCTGAGCCAGCAGTGGCACATGTAACTCCAAGTGGCTTGCTCAGCAATCCCCACATCACATTTAAATGTGTTTCACCCTGACCAGAAATAGATCACCAAGGCCAAAGATGGAGCACATTTCATTTTCCACAGCAACCAGCCAGCATCTTCCTTATGCTCCTCTCTACCTAAACTAGCCTGCTTTGACATGAGAACAGGGTCCAGACTCTACAGCCTCTCTACCTACTGGCCTCGCCACTGAAACAACTTGTCTAACAGGCTCCTGAGTCTCCAAGATGGGCACTTCTCCATCTAGGTGCTGGCTTGTAGGGTATTCCCTCTCAGTTGGTAGGCGGGTCTCACACAATCACTGGAGTCTCAGCCATCCAGGATTAAGACCACTGTAATATTTCTCTGGAGAACCAGTACTTGTACACTTAGTGCCACAGGGGTAATTTGGCCCCTTGGTAGCAGGGCAACTGCCTAGCTCAAGCTGTATGGAACAGGTTGAACTTCCACAGTAGTTTTTGAAGTTCAATTTAGAAAGCAGGTGACGTGTCCCAAAACCTGTTTTGTGCCTTGCAGTACAGATCAAACATCGTTGAGAAAACATTTTCAAGGGTGGTCATTATACTGGTAGCCTGAGACCTGGTACATTTGCATTAATTTCCATGCTCTAACAAGCATTCTACATGAGCTGGTGTCTTGCTCAGTTGTCCAGGCATCTGAGGCAGGCTTAGACAAGGAAGGATTTATACCAGACCCTGGCTTCCTACGGAGTCATCACAGAGAATTAGGTGTTTCACTCATACTTTCTCATTGTGCTCTAGGGATAGACTCTTCTTTCCTCCAACTCAGTAAAGAACCAAGCTTTGCCTGCCTTAAATAACAAGTGACCTCTGTCCCTTCAGCTAGGAAACAGTAAACAATGAAGCCTGGTGCATGCAGGCAGTAGGGGACTGAGCACAGCATCTCTGCTTCGGCACGCTGGAGCAGTGGGGGCATTTCACATCCTTCCAATGTGTTTCACAAGCATTAATTAATAATCCACTGTCCAGTTTTGCCTTCTACAATTGGCATTAGATGGGTAGAGAACTGTCTGGTTTGGGGTGAGGGGGTTACGGTATGAGTTGTGATCTTTCAGCGCGTGCTCTGAAAGTGAGACCTCCCAGCTTTGCAAGCGAGGCCTGGGGTAATAGTCTTTTCTCAGCAGCATGATAAAATCCATTTGCCTGTGCCCACAGGCTCAGTGGCAGCTCCATTTTAGTGTGCACTGTTTTGTCTCTCCCTTTTCAAAGACTGGGGACATTTGTTGTGTCAGAATCCAATGGGAGCAATGTTACTTGTGAGACCTGATCGCTGAAGTGAGGGTAACTCATGGACTGATTCAGTGATGTCACTATGTCCTTACAAGCCACTATTGACCCTCTAGCCCAGTGCTGAAGAAACCTGAAATATTAGTTACGAATCTGATTTGTCAGGACCAGGTTCTCCTGTTGTTACAGCCTGCAGCACCCAATACTAGGGGAAGTTTTTACTCGGAGGTGATGGTGAGAAGAATAAGGATATGACAAAAGCAGAGGAGTGTTAAAGCATTGTCACTGTTCAGTAAGCAATTTGTTTGTAAGCAGCTTCAGATTTTCTTCCAGTGTTTTAGGGCTTGGTAAGTGCTCACTAAAAAAGAGTAATTTTCAGGCCTCCAGCTGTTTTTTACAAAATGTTTGCTTCAGTGAATCATTACTTGCTTAGTATTCACACTCTTTTATTGGTTAATTGAATACCATGCTAATTGTTGTCTCTCTCGACTGGGTACCTATAATATTGGTCAGATTTTTTCTTTTTTTAATTAGGTTGTTGGAATATTTTTTTTCCACCTGAAATACTGGTATGTCAAAATGGAAACATTTTACAGAAACATGTGTTTTTATGTGCAGTCATCTTTGGCTTTTTAGGCTTGGTATTTAAATTTCTGGTGAAAAGGCGATAGACAGGGTTAAAATGGTCACTAACTTGAGTGAGGATTTTGTTTGTAGAAAACTCTAACCAAACTCTTGTACAGAAATCAGGCAGAGACTTATACCTGTATTTTGCATGTACCAAACAACTTAATGACAAGACTGTTATCTGCTCAGGAGTGGCTCTTACTTGCAAGAAAAAAAAAAAAAAAAAGACTGTAATAAAACATGAGGACAAATTACAGCACTTCAAAATTTATCATGCACGGGAATTAATTTATTTTAATTATTTTGGCCAGTCCTGTGAATAACAACTAGCTTGCTGTCTGGTTAGAATCAGCCTTTGTGTTACAAATCATGAAACCTTAGCAGTTCACAAATTTTCATGTGACACCCGGCAAGCTGTCAAATGTTCAAAAGTAACAAGTGTCATTAGAGAATGAACCACAACTATTCACACTCAGATCTTTTGTTTCTGAAGCTGTTAACCAATTCCTTTTATTGTTCTAGTCACCTAATACTAGCAAATACAATATTATCCACCAATAGAGAAGTAAAATAGGAGCCCTTGCCAACTGCAGCTGTTACCAGAATAACCATGTCAGAGTAATGTGCCCCTTGCTTCTATTCTCTCTGTATCTCCTTTTTGATACTTTTGGTTCTTAACCTGAATCACCAAGTCCTTATTTTTATTTTTATTTGTTTTTATTTTTTGTTTTTATTTTTATTATTTGTTGATAATTATGTACAGTTTATCATAGGTGAGGTTGATAATGTTTGGAAGCAATTTTGAATATTTCTTAACAGAAAAAAAATTGAATAAGTTTTGGGTTTTTTTTGTTTTCTTAATGGGTAATAGTAGAGAATCTGGACTTGATGTCAATGATAGTTACAAACTGCAACCTCAGATACTAGGAAATAATCTTTTGGGCCTTAAAAAAAAAAAAAAAAAAAGTCTTCAGACAGCTGTCCAACTCAGGGAAATAAATGGGAACAATTTGATTTTAGCCATGACAATGCACAATCTGGCATTTTTTGAATCAGAAAAACTTGGAGTCTGGAAATTAAACTGTCAGTACTAGAAAGTATGGGACTGTGAAGACCAAGAAGTGTTTAATCAGTATGTTGGGCTCTCAAAATGGGCAGGAAACATTATCCTGGAAGGACAAAACTCTGCAAAACTTAATCGTAGTGTAAGGACAGAGGAAGATGTGTGTGTGAGGGACAAGAGCTGGACAGACAGATGGAGGCCACTGGAGGAAAAAAGAGTTTGCTTTTTCTGCTTAGTACTGCAGGAGAGAAAATTCATGCTCCCCATTAAATCCTTTCCACACAGTCATCCTTTCCCATACCCATTATCTTCAGGGACAGACCAGAAGCTGCCAATTCAGGCAGTGTTGACAACATGGCACTGGTGCTGTAAGTGCATGGTCAGAGTTCCTTGTGTTGGCAAGGGAATGCAAGCACCAACATGGGGTGCAAGGACAGCAGTGGCACCATACTGTTAAACTTTGATACACAGACAACCATTAGCTCTTCAGTACTAATGCACACCCTGATTTTGCATTTCTGTTGAAGGCGGAACTTTGGGCCTTCACTTAATTGTTGTTGTTCTTGACAAGGCTACAGACTCACTTCATGAAAGACATTGAGATTCTGGAGCATGTCCAGAGACTGGCAACGGAACTGATGAAGGGTCTGGAACACAAGTCCTATAAGGAGCAGCTGAGGGAGCTGGGGGTGTTTAGCCTGCAGAAAAGGAGCTCCAGGGACCTTATCACTCTCTACGACTATTTGAATGGAGATTGTGGGAGGCAGGGCTCGGCAACAAGTGACAGGCCAAGAGAAAAGGGCCTCAAGTTGTGCCAGAGGACGTTTAGAGTGGATATTATGAAAAATTTCTTCTCTGTAAGGGCTGTCAAGCTCTGGAACAGGCTGCCTGGGGAAGTGGTGGAGTCACCATCCCTGGAGGTATTTAAAAGATATGTAGATGTTGCACTTGGGAACGTGGTTTAGTGGTGGGGTTGGCAGTGTCAGGTAAATAGTTGGACTAGATGATCTTAGAGCTCTTTTCCAATCTAAAGTGTTTTATGAACCCAGCAGGATCCCTGCACAGACTGCAGCTGTATCATTCATCCAAGCTTTAGTGTAGCAGCATATTGGACAGTAATGTTTGCTCCAGTCCCAGGGACAGTGATTGCATCTGCTGTCTAGTAACATGCCCAACATTTTCAATGAGCTGAAACCAAACAGTTTCTCTGTAGAGATGAGCTGTATTTTCCCATTACAAACCCAATGCACTTAAAAGGTTTTTCCCTCTGTATTCTCTCTGATCCTAACCATAATGTTTCCCTTCAGTCTTGCCCTCAAACAATATAGTAGAGCATAGATTAAGATAGCAGTGTCCAGAATACCGTGTTGTTATGCAGTCCAAATATGGATGTGGTTTTCCATCGTTCTGCCCAGTTTTATCCGATATCTTTAAATTTTGAGGTGAATTTGAGGATACCACAATGAACTGAAGGGGAGAGAGGGCTGAACCTGAGCTGCTTTGCTGATGGCTGGTTTACATGCAGCCAAGTGATGCCCATATTTTTTTGTACCCCTAATTATGTGGCACCTCCACACAGCTTGTTAGCTGTCATTTACAATCTGAGGGGAGTGTCACAAACCAGTCACTCCCAAACGGTGCAAACTGCAAATTTGTGTATGAATGTAGTTCCCCGCATGCGTGTCTGATCAGCATCCGTAATTGATGTCAGGGAGATTGTTTATGGTGCTGGGATGAGGAGCCCTGTTTTCAGGTCGGAATGTGTGACTCCACTGTGACTTTGCTTTCAACTCTCCTATTGTTTATTTTATTTGTAAAGCCCTTTTCCCTCATCCTCTCCATCCCTGTCTCTCTGTTTGTAGAGAAAATAGGCAGAACTGACATAGAAAGTTGCCCTCGGAGCCAATTTGCAGCAACTGTTAAAGATCACACTGTATCCATCTAAAAATGCCTATCCATAGGGAGCTGCCTTTGAACCTGAGTGGAGGAGGGCGTTTTGAAAAGGTACTTAAAGCAGGAAAAGAAGCTGTTTTAAAGTAGAGGGGGGCAGATCAATGCAGAAACAACAAGGTTGTCCTCAGCCTCTCACCTAAGCCTTCTCTGAGAGCTGAGAGTTTTATTGGTGTTTTTTTTTGTTGTGTTTGTTTTTGTTTTGTTTTTAATTTCCATACATTTTTGCACTGCTTAGTTTTAATTCAAAGAGCAAAAGCACTGAAGTGTTGTTAAAGATACTGCATTTGCAACTCTTTTGTAACCACAAAGTAGAGAGACATGAACTGAATACTCTACGCTCTGCCTTTATAGATCCAAATCCCTTGGCATTTGGATATCCTGTCCACAGGTTAGTGGGTTGGCCCTTTTTTTGTTTGTTTCGTTAGGGTTTTGTGGTGTTTTTGTGCTTCATCTCTTTGTAAAGCTAAGACCTAGCTGCAAACTTTGTCTCTAGATTTTGGCCAAAAATATTATTTCTTTTGCCCTATCTACCTAGCCAAACTAATTTGGAGTTTTCTTGGTTATGCCAGCTGGAAAAAGGGATTGGCAATGAAGTCAGGTTTCTTTGGCAAGGTCTGGTTGTTCACAAGAATGTATCAAGTCTTGCTTTTTGTTGTGCAGTAGGAAGCACACAATCAGAGCTGGTTTATTCATCCACCGCTCCAGCTTGGTTCCAGTAAGCACCCTGATGCAAGAAACCCTCTTCCTGGACTCCCATCTGCTGGGTCATCCCTATTGCTCTTCAATGCTCTCCTCTCTGTTAGCTTCAAAGTATTGTCACTTTTTCTACCCCCACTGTTTGGTTGCTATTTGCATATCCAGCAAGGTTTCTTAGCATTTCCAAGCTCATGCACACTCTAACTGCTATGGTGACAACCTCAAGTGGCTTTTCCAGGAGCAATTAAGCCTATGAGTTTCAGAAGGGTTTACCTTGTGTACCTCTAGCCTTTGGGGCAGTTTGGGTTATACTCTAGATTGTGACTGATGAGATCAAGGGGGGCAAGGCATCTGCAGTCTTGTGGCTTTAGGCTGGCAGGTGATGCAAGGTTCTATCAGTTTTTTAGCGGGCAGTGTGCACCTTCAAGTCACCTGTAAGGTTATTATTGCTAAGAATGTTTTTATTCTCCTTCTGCAGGCCTGTGTCTTCTTCTCTGCCTTGCCCCTCATGTATGTTGTAAGGCTATCTTTAGCTGAGCTCCTGGCTAATCCAGCATTAATGGACCTGCCTAATTGTACTTTGCTATTTTCTCTCCCTTTATCCTTAAATTGGTCTACTGGGCAGGGGGTCTAGAGGGCAAACACATTCATTATGTTACCAGCAAACAAGATATGAATCGCACTGCAGGGGACAAAATTAAATTTACAGTTTCCCCTTGTAGATGTCATAAACTATTGATTTAAACCAAGAGGGGACACAGCAGTAGAACCAGCGTATTGGCTATGTTGCATTGTTCTCCTTGTGTTCTGCCAGGGGTGTTTGCTGCCAGTCTCTGTGTGGCTTTTAGGGAGTGGCTGGTCCCCCAGGGTAAATGCAGAGCAGAGGGAAAGGTTAGGTGTAGTTTTTTTGGTAGCTCCATGGGTGGATTATTTAAGGCTATCTTCTCAGCTCTGGGTCTTAGAGATCTCCCTTTGGCACCACTGTAGCCTGTGATCAGGGACTGCATTTGAAATCTATTTTCCTTATCCCACACATTGCCTGTGCTCAACTTTCCTTGCCCTTTTAGGGGTTTTAAAAGTGGCATATTCAGATGTTCTGAGTACCAGTCTAGCTGTGCCTAGGCTTCCTTCACTGTGTGGGACATGGCATTTTGCCCCTGTTAAGCCCCCTGTCTTTTCCCCATCTCATTATTTGCTTGTGGGAAGGATTGTTCTTTCTTGCCATAGATGCAGCAAGGGAACAATGGAAGGAAGGGATTCTAGACACTGCCCGTGGAGCTTGGTGTTGGTGCTACCCCTGTATGCTATGCCAAAGAGAGGAGCTAAAGTCTGAAACTTCACCAAACCATACAGTGCCTTTGCCGTGCTCAGCTAGAATGAGTCCTAGCAACTAGAACTGCTAAAGCACAGGATTTGGCTCTGTTCCCTCTTCCCTTTTCATATCATCTCAACTAGTCTGGAAGCACTCAGGTGGTAGGAAGCCAGGAAGAGACATATAGTACATTCACATGGAGAAATGTCCTACTCATGTTAATGGTTGTCACCAGTGGACCCCATGCTGTGCCCCTCCACTGCTGCTGGGAATGGTTTGAATGGCAGAAGCAGGCATGGGGCCAGACATGAACTCCATGCTTGGTGAATCATCATCTATTCCATGTTTAGCGATGTTACAGAAGAGTTTAGTCCCTCCTGTGCTGTCAGCCAATTCTCATTATCGGTTACTTGGACTAGAGATGCAGTCACTGTTGAAATCCATTGTCAGGAGCAATTTATTACATTAGTGTAGGTGCATTTCTTATACCCCTAGCCTGTGTGAGAGGGTCGAAAGCTGTAATTACATAACCATTTATCTCCTCCCATTCTTTTCTGGGGACCATTTTGGTTAAGGTGTACCCTGGAAAGACCAATACTGCTGCTGACCAGGGATAAAACCGTGCTTTGTCCAGACAGCACAGGGAATTCAGCATTTCTCTACACCAGAAGCCTTGTCACTGCTCTCTGACAGCTGCCAGAGAGGTGAAAAGATCTGGGTGGAGAACCCTTTCCTTGCCCACCTGTGCCGTTTCTGAGCTGTAGGCAATCTGACTGGGTCTTCGTGGAGACTTAGATGCAAGATTCTGCATGCTACCTGCTATGGGACCTAATCTAACAAGTGGTCACAGATAAGCACTGTCTGCTGAGATCTGATGTGAAAAGCCATTCAGAGGAAGCTGTTTGCAGTAAGGAACTTTTATTAACTCCAGGATATTGACTACATAGACTCAAGCACTGTTTTCTCTCATCTCTCGCTTATCTGTGTGCCTACCGCTGACCTCTCTCTTCCAGATCGTTCCTTTAATCAGCTCAGGGATGTAGGAGAATATTTTGTGAGAGAGTATTTCTGACTGCCAAACTCAGTTTATTTGTGTCTCATTGCAAAATAGACCCCAAGAGGTGAAATGCTGTAATCACTTGCATTTCTGATTCCCCAGATCACTTGCCTCTAAATAACTATGATGTGCTTTGAGGACTGGGTACAAATTTAATGATGTTATCACAATTAACCTGCCATCTTTTTATTTTACATTTTTTTTCTTTTTTTACAACTGCAGAATTGGCTTTAATTTTGAGTTGAAGGCTTTGTTGTCAACAACTTTATCTACTAGTTGCCAACTCACCACAGAATTCTTACTAGCACATAAAATGAGAAAGAACAAAACATTTTAAAGATTGAGGACATCTTTATTTGCACAGTCTCTCCTGTTCATTTTCAGAATGCTCTCGCACACTCTGTAACATCTTACTAAAATTACTCATTGCCACAGCAGCCTCACCTACCCTAGACCTCACAAAGTCATATTAGCTCTTCAAATACAGTCACAAAGTGGAAGGGAAGTGTGGTATTCCTGTGGGTGAGGAGTTTCATTTAGTGGTTGTGGAGTTTCCTTTAGTGGTGATGTTCAAGAAGAGGTTAGGAAAAGCTCTTCCCTGGAATTGTTTATGCGTAGTTGATTCTGCTGTGGAGTTGGGAAGTGTATTTGATGGTGTCCTATAGGCCTTTCCATTCCGATTTTATTGATTCTGTGAGAACCTGCCATGTCCATTCTCCCTTATTCCTTGACACTGTGTTTCCCAAGGCCATCAGAAGCTATCTGATCAAATAAAATTCACCCAGGTGGGCTCCATACATTCTCTTGCCTTGCAGGACCTCTTCTGGAGATGGCTAAGGATCATGTTAGAGCTTGCCCTCCTATTTCTTC